GAAGATAGAAAGACATGGATGGGACAGGAGCTCTACAAGGAGACCAAAGAGCCAAGAAATCTGGGCTCAGAGGGTCCTGCAGAGACTGATGAATCAACCAAAGACCATGCTTAGATGTAGCCCATGGGCAGCTCGGTCTCCATGTGGGTGGCCTAGTAAGGGGAACAGGGGCTGTCTCTGACATGGACTTAGTGGCTGGCTCTTTGATCACCTATCCCTGGTGAGGTTGCCTTCCTAGGCCACAGAAAAAGAGGATCCAGACAGTTCTGATGATAGGCTAGGGTCAGATATGGGGAGGAGGAGGACCTCCCCTATCAGTGGACAAGGGGGAGGACATAGCAGGGGAAGAGGCAGGGTGGCATCGGGAGATGAGGGAGGGGGCTAAGGGATACAAAGTGAATAAATTGTAATAAATAATAATAAAGAAAAAGATTTAAAAACCCTAAGTGTTGGGGTGTAAACACTTTTTTTTAATGTCATATGACTGTTTCCTTTTGACTCTCAAAACAATGTTTGCTGGCTTTAGAAATCTAGGAAATGTGATTAAGAGTGGGAAAGCAGACAAAGAAAATCTTCCAATAACTTCATCACTGGGAGGCAAAAGCTGTTTACATTTTAACATAGTAGCACCATTTCCAAATATTTCTACATCATGTAGTGCTACTATGGAGCTGAAAGTTTAATTTGTTAGCTTTATATAATTTTAGAAGTAATATTTTTAAACCTTTCTGTTTCAAGGATGTTGCATTGAGTCTCTCGAAACTACTTTGATGAAAATGTTCAGGCACAAATATGCAAGGATATTCAGTTATATATAAAAAAAGATGTAACAGCTTCTGCTTTTAATCCTCAGAAGCACTCAGTGTTGCATCAGTTGACACATTAAAGGCTAGCTTATGTTATTAAGTAACCTGTAAATTTTATTTTTTACAGCTGTGTTTGTTCTGCTGGTGATAAGAGAACACAGGGCAATCACCTCTGCATTTTGAATTTGATGCAGATTCTGGGTCTGGAAAGACATAGAAGGCAAAGCCTTCAAGTCAGAAGTTAACTGACATCTTTATTTTTTTTAAACTGATGCTATCTTCTATCTTTTTTTTTTTTTTATCAGTCACTCCTTTATTCTAGCATAGGAATTCGGAAGTATTAGCAAGACTTAGGAGACTTCCCTGCATCCCAGAGCCTGTCTTGATACACATGTCTCCTTGTAAACAGTCCAGTTAGGTATCCATGAGTACACCGACATGATACCAGTCACAAAATCAAGACTGTGGTGTGGGGATGGACTTTACTGACCTCAGGGGAAATTAAGGTCTCCGGCAGTTAGCTTTGCTTGCTGAAGGCAATGACTATGAAATCAATCTATTTAATTGTTTCCTTACTTTCATCTACTTAGGTTTGTGATAACAAGGGACTTGATGCTGTTTTAGGCAAACTCTTGTACACTTCTAGCATATTTTATACCATTAGAGAGGTGGACTTCCCTTATGTGGCTGAAGATTGAACTCACCTATCAGTGGACTAGGGGAGGAGCAAGGGAGAAGAGGGAGGGAGGGCGGGATTGGGAGGAGTTGAGGGAGGGGGCTACAGCTGGGATACAAAGTGAATAAATTTTAATTAATTAAAAATAAATTAATAAAAAGGAGCAACAGCAAGCAGATTAAATACAGTAAAGTCTTACAGTTGCACATAATAAAATACTCTGCAATTAAACTAAAAAAATAAAAGATTGACTAACAGGTTTTAAAAGTATTGAAGGGCTTTTCCATTGCCATTTCCCCTGAATAAATGTTTCAGGCTTAAGGAGAAATAAAAAAAAATGATATAAAGTCATTTTTTTATTTTATAATATTTATGGAAGAATGTACTGACTAAAAAAGAAAGAAAAATACTTTTCTTAATAAAGATGATCTTTACAGTTAAATGTGCCTGAAGACATGTGAAAAAGAAGTTACATTAAATGTTTGTTTTTTAGACTAAATTCTTTAGAATTTTCTGTGATTATTTTAGTGATGTGGAAAGATGCATTAATATTTAAATTATTCACTAATTTTAGGAATAAAAAACATTATAGTTCACTGATTCTACGATAACCAGCTTTTAGTACATACTGAAGCAGACGTCTCAGTATTGACCTAATGAAACTTTGAAAAGTCAACTACAGAATAATAAAAACTTATGAAATATGAAAAAATGACCACTCTTTGTGGGGATGAAAATTATAAATACTTGAGGCACTGTGTCATGCATAATGATGTATTTATGATTTATAGAGTTGGTATCAGTAAACTGTAAGATCCAAAGTGATGTCTTCAGTTTTAATTGCTGTTCCTAAGAGAACCATGAAACAAAATTGTCTCTCACCTGTAAGCCCCTTGTCCAATTCTTGCCCAGCGACAGATACTTCCTGAAATGCTGGAGGCTTTTGCTTATAAGAGATAACAAGCTGCATGGTTTTGCTCCCCTATTCAAGTTTGTTTGATTGTGCAATGGATGTAGGAGGGAGATATGCAAGCAGGAAATATGTCAAGTTGTATGCTTGCCCCCATTTGGACCCGATTGCAAATTTGGTGGCCTTAGGCGTTTGCCTTTTTAAGCCTCTGTAAAACGTGACTTGTGGCCATTTTCTGGGAATCCAAGAATGGACCTGGCCAGAGTCCACCATCTTTGCCAGCATTTAATTAAAGCTTGCTTCAGATTTGGCTCAAAACTGTGGTAGTTGTTTTATTCCTGCCTTGGTGGGATTAACAAAACCTAGGGCATTTCCAATAACCTAACAATAGAATAGTTAATAAAACTAGGATGTTGCCGGGCACCGTGGCACACACGGAGACAGAGGTAGGCCGATCTTTGTGAATTCAAGGCCAGCCTGGTCTACAAAGTCAATCCAGGACAGCCAAGGCTACAACAGAGAAACCCTGTCTTGAAAACCAAAAGAAAAAAAAAAAAAAGCAAGCAGGATGTGTGATATTTTACCATTACTCACATGTGACATTTGTATTGATGCCTGTATGTAGATCTGGAAAAGCATGTGGGTGGAAACCAATAGTTGGTGGTCCAAATAACATTGCCTACTACAAAAGGAGTGTTAGGTATTCTAATGGGATAATTTTTACATATCCAGTTGTTCCTTAATGCAGCATATATTATCTAAGAGAAGTTATAACAATGACAATAGTCATATGCAAATAATTCCTAATTCTTTTTAGTCTTTTTTTTTTTTTTTGTGGCCCTTGCATTTGTTTTTCTTTTCCAGGGAATGCCAACACGGATAGAAACTATTATTATACATCTTAGACTGGACAAGCTGGAATAGCTAGGCTGACAAAATGTTACCTTTTTGGAAGCGACATCTTGAAGTCCCCTTCATCTGCAGGGATCTCTCTGAAAACTAACGTGATTACTCCTGAAGTTCCCCCACCAAGTCCTAAAACATTAGCTAAGTTCACCTTCCCTAGGCACTGGGATTCTAGCCGCCTTTTCATACTCTAAAATAGTCTCTCAATACTGTAATAGGCTCTGTGACTGTGGATAATGGTTCTCTTTTCAGGCAACCAATTAAGGGTGAGAGGATAATCCAGGTAGAAAGAAATTTTCCTAGGTCACCCACAGAGCTGACATATGCTATTTTCGTCTTTCGTCTGTGTAAGATTTAGACAAGGGCTGCTGGCTTTTTGCATCACAGGACCTGGGTGTTTTCAGGACTCTGGATTCAGTGTTGAGTCCCAGCAGACATCACAGATGTTCCTACCTGGACCAAGCTATATCCCGTGCGCTGGACCAGTGCGCGGAGTGCCGCCTCCTTCTGGGTGCCGCTCAATCCATCCCCGGATTTGTGATTTGATTCCATTGAGAGTGATTATCAGCAAAAAATCAGGTTAATTAGGGTTGCTCACTGAAACCAAATTTAAGATAAATTAAGTAAATTACTATAGCCAAGTCCACCTTTGCCCTTCCCGTGAAGAGCATCTATCTTTAGCAGAGGCCTAAAAAGGAATCATTAAGTTATAGCTGCTAACTGCCGCGTTCAAACAAGGCTGGCCCAATTTCATTTTCAAAATCTTGTTTTTAAATTTTAAATGTTCAGACTTTAGAGAGATGGAAACTGAATAGTGTCCATTCTCTAATTAGAATGTGCTCTACTCATTCTCAGTTCAGTTATGTTAAGACATCACTAAATATACAAACAAATTAGCATTAAAAGCATTAAAAGCATGTCAAGGGAAATGGCTTGCAGGTGACAGTACTTGGTGCTCAAGCCTGAAGACTGGAGTTCACGCCCAGCACCACCTACACATAGCCTGTAACCCTAGCATTGTGTGGCATCGCCAGAGCTTGCTTGCCAGTGACCTGGCTCTGGGTTTAACAGGCTTGTCTCAGGGAAGTGAGGTGGAGAGTGACAGAGCACCTTGCCTGATGTCTTCTGTGGCCTCCAGGTGCACACTTCCAATCACATACCTGTGCACAACACACACCCACACATACACACACGAGGGAGAGAGAAGGGGGGAAGAGGGAGAGAGAGAAGGGGGGAAGAGGGAGGGAGAGAAGTGGGGAAGTAGGGGAGAGATTATAGATTTGGGACTGAGAAACTATCATTAAATCTAATACACTGGGGTAGGAAGTAAAAATTCTGAGATTGGGATGAATGAAGATTCATTCATTTTGTGTTTCCCAAGACACTTTTCTAGTTATTCTATAACCAAGACTGGTTAAAGGATTTTAAACATCATATGTGCACACACACACATACATTTCTCACATTTTTACATGTATAAAGTCCTATACATAAAAATTTAGAACAAAGATTTCAGTGTTTACAGTCTTCAATGGTGTTATTTTATATTTTAAATATTTAAATTAATTAAATTGTGTGTGTGTACATACATGCAGAAGCACACACAGGTCAGAGGACAACTTTCAGAGGTCAGTTGTCTCCTTTCACCATGTGGGTCTTGGGGATTGAACTGAGGCAGTTAGACTTGGCAACAAGTGCCTTTACCTGCTGAGCCATCTCATTTGTCCAAAATGTTTTGCCCTTGTTTTTAATCTTGATTTTTCTAAAAGAAATTAAAGTCTTTTACATGATGCTGGTGATTTGGCATTATGTGGCAACTCAGTTTAGGTCATGTAGCTTTAATGTTGTAGTTGGAGTATAGACTGATTCTATGGATACTAAAATGCAGGTAAGTTGACACCCATATTCAGTTTATGATCTTTATCTGTTGGTGGATACAGTTGTAGAAATTGCTATGAAGGAATAAACATAGATGAAACTATAAGAAGCATTTTTGAAGACTTACAAAGAAACTATTGCAAGGGTTACATTTTGTCTAATGCTAGTATTTTTTTTTTTTTTTTTGGAAATGTTTCTAAAGTTACTAAGTGTCATTAAATTTGCTGTTTAATCAGAAAGCTCTCAAATTCTTCCATTGTGCCTAGTTCATCCTGGAGGACCAGGAAGGACATGGGTGATCTGATAAGGTTATTTCTATGTGCTTTAGAGCTTTGAAGGCAAAGTCTACAGTTTGTTGGCCAAACTGTAGTTTGTTCTTTGCTGAACTTCATCATTTCCATCAAAAAGGTCATGGTTACATGGTGAGTTCGTTTTTGCAAAACCTACTTTGAGATTGGGTCAATAATTACTAAAGGTTATTAAGGAAATTTTGACGTTGGAAAGGCTTCTCAGCTTCGTTGAAGTACATGGTAAAGTTCTGAGAAATTCTTTACAATATCTAAATCTCAAATCACTGGAAATCAGTACATCAAAATGAAACTCCCAGTTTGCAACCAAAGGCACTTCACAGATTGGGTATGTTTTCTAGTTGGTTTAGCGCTTGATTAACATGTGTGAAGTCCTAGGTTTAAACACAAGAAATCCCAAACAAAATTTAACCCAACCCGAAATAAAACAAAACAAAAAACAAAGATAACATATGAATCGAGTTGAGGAAATTTGTGGTGGCCCAGTTATGGGGGTGCTGATTTTCACAGTGACTTTAGCTATTGGAAGAGATAAACTGAATGGCAGGTAGACAGATATCCAAGTCTGAACTTCAAGGGAGAGCCCCAGCTGGGAGACACTGACTTGGAGCTGAGGTATGACAGACATTTATTCTTGAGATGGGATGAGCTCATGTTCGGGCTGTGTAGACTCTGGACCACAGCCCGGATCTCCTATACTCATCCTTCACATGACTCTGAGCTTAGCACTGAACTCTCCCTCAGACCACCAGGCTCACTGCTGACATTTTTCATCCCCATGCCTTCCATCTTCACTGTTTGGCCTCATTGATTCTATCTAGATTTGGATGAAAGCTGTTTGCTCTATGATGTTTCTTGACAACCTACCTAGGTAGCATCAAATGCCATCTCTTCAGTGTTCTCAGAAAAACATGTACTGCCTTATACTGCACGCACAGCGCTGTGATATTACCCTGACGCTCATTCTAGCTATCTTGTACTTATAGTTGCCCCAAAGGCTTGATGTTATGCCCAGTGCTCAACAGGCAAATAAGGAATGAACAGAAGACTTAGGGTCAATAATTTTATAGTTTACTGTGACTTGTACTCAATCAGAAGTAAAATAAATATATAAACCAAATGCCCTAGTACTCATTATTTCTAACTATTTCCAGTAACTTTCTGTAGTCCTACCCTAGAACAAACCCATTTTATGTGAGAAAATGATTTTTGATGGTTTCTGCGCATGCCATATTTATGAGAGAGACAAGAGTAAATATTTCTCCAGGGTAAAGTTATTAAAACTAGAGCTTGTATGGGCATGCTTTCTCTTCTATGCATTTTATGGTTTTACATCTGCAACCTCCATTTCCATTTGATGTAGCAGGGCCTAGAAATTGTGGTTCAAGATTTCTCCTTCCTTCAAAGTTGAGGGAGAATTGGACTAGGCCTCTTATCACCTAGCTGGTCTGCTTAACACAGTTCAACCAGAGTTGACTATTGGAAAAGGTCACGGGTACGTGCGGACCCTGAGGTCTCTGATGTCAGTGGGCATTAGGTCAGGGAAGGTGGAAGGGGAGAGGAGGAAGAGAAGGAAACATATAGTGGGGAAACAATGACTTTTCCAACTCTACACTTATCAGGCAGAGACACATGCTGCTCTGCAGTTATGCCTCTGCCTATCGCAGAGAAAGGAAATACAGTTATTTGGTGGTACAAAAAAAATTTAAAAATTGGTACCACAAAGAGTCACAAGTTACAAACAGGCTTGAAAGAGGGGATTGCTTCTCAGATTTTTATTGTCCTGGTGGAACCTGCATTGGTGACCAGGGAGACAAGAAAGAGAGGAGCCAACTTTGCTTTTGTCTCTGAAGTCTCTCAAAATGCAAATGGGGCAAGACATGAGACAAAAGCTGCAAAGGCATGTAAGAGGGAAGCATGTTTAAAAGCAAAGAAACAAGAGCAGTAAAGTAGAAGCAGAGAATAAAAAGTACAATCAAACAGTGGATATCAGTGGGCATCCTGATTAAAAGTTAAATTAAACAGTTATCCTCCGCTTTGATGAAGAGTTCAATAAATATCGATTTTCCTCTACACATTCCTGTCTTTGGCAATTTAGAATCTGGAAAGAGTAGTTTTGTTGCTATAATTACATGTCACCTAATTATGTGATGCTCGAAAGAGGTTGGACAAGAAAACTGAATGGGGAGAAAGACTGCTGGTGAGTTGGTCAGTAGTGGAGGGGGAGGGGTTCTCCTAATCGAATGGGGACCTCAGGGCTGTGCTGACACCAGACTCCATGTGCCTCTGAAGTTGTTGAAGGCTTCGCTTGTTGTTTGAATGTCTCTAGGCCATCTCCATCTTTCTCTAATGTTCTATTGTGACCGGGTCTTGCATGAAATAAGTGAGACCTATGTCACCCTTAGGCAATACATCCAATCTGTTTTTAACAGGAAATTCTGCCTTTTAAAGAATCTCCCAGGAATTTCAGAGTCCCAGAGTACACAGAAATAAAGGGTTTGTGATGATAAAGGTCCATGCACTATCTTAGTGATGCAAAGTAAATATTACCTTGCATTGCTCAATAAAAGAAGCACAAATTAGTTCCAAAACTCAACTTAGGAAAATGTTTACAAATGAAAGCAATAGTTCATCTGAGTATGCATCATGAAACACAGAAAAATTAATACAGAATGAGTGCATATTCACACATTCCAAAAGGTTGCTGTAGTGATTATGTGGATTAAAGAAATAGAGGCCATGCATTTGGAAAGAGAGTAAATGAGGGCATTGGGAAGGGCTGGAGGGAGTAAAGAGGAGGAAAATGATGCAATTCATTATATTTTAACTTAAAAAACTAAAAAGCATTTTAAAGTCTTTATGTGTCACTTTTTATTTAAATATATATCAGTAACTTAATTAACCAGAACCATCTTCCGTTCTTAAGGCATCAGTTAATGTATGATGCATTTGTTTGGGCCTAGATAATCTTGAAATAAAGAAATTAAAGCTGTTTTCAGTGACAGGATTAATTGTATTTGTAATTAACAAAACCTTCTCGGTAGTATATTTCATATTGTTTGAGAAGAGCACAATGACATTTCAATTTCTGTTCTTCTACCGTGACTCTAACTTTCTGAAAACTGGCTTTCTTTTAAAAATATATATATAATACAAGATCACTGATACCTAATGAAAAGTGTAAAAAGCAAAATAACAGCAAAATGATTGAACAGTTAAGGGAATGGATGTAAGAGCCTGCCATATGGTTGGCGTTTGAGAGAGGCTCATTTGATGTCCATTCCTGTTCCCTAAATACTGCTTTTGTTGACTCAGCCACCTTTGTGATATTCTCTTTGGTTAGTGTCCTCCCAGCCATTGTCCAATGTGGGGAAAATGAAGTTCCGAATGTGTAATGCTGAGTTCCTTCAA